AAAAAAAAAAAAAAAAAAAAAAAAAGATATCTTACCTTGGCTATGCTAGATGGGGGTAGTATTTCCAAAGAAAATGTCTCTCAGAAAATACAAATTTGTTTTTATTTTAAGAGACAGGGTTTCATTCTGTTATTCAGGCTGGATTGCAGTGGCATGATGACAGCTCAGTGCAACCTCTACCTCCCAGGCTCAGGTTATCCTCCTACCTCAGCCTCTCAAGTAACTGGGATTACAGGCTGAGCTACCATGCTTAGCTAATTTTTTCTTTTTTGAGGAGATGGGGTCTCACTGTGTTGCTGGACTTGTCCTGGGCTTAAGCCATTCTCCTATCTTGGCCTCCCAAAGTGCTGAGTTTACAGACATGAGCCACCACATCCAACTACTACTCATGATTTTTAACCTAGCAGCTGGAAAGATGGAGTTGAAATGACTGGAACATCAGTGAAAAGGAGAGGTTGGAAGTTCAGTTTTGGACACATTACCCTTTAGGCACTTTTTAGACATTAAGATGGTGAGACCTATTTGGCTTCCCATTATAAGAATTGATTTCAGGTGAGGTCCAGGCTGGAGATTTTAATTTGTTGTAGCCAGTAGCATATTGATAGTATCCAAAGTCTTGAGGTCATGTAGGGATTGAGTACAGAGAGAAAAGGGGGAAGGTCTAGTGGCCGAGCCTTGAGATACTCTCACTATTCAGACTTGGAGGATGTGCTCTGGCTCCACTCGAGGGTTGGATTCAAATTTTAAAAGAGTTAGGGGATATGAATGAAAGAACAAGGTAAAACAGCTAAAAGCTGTAAGTCGAATAGCAGGAAATTTGGGAGAGGGTGCCCTGGAAGCTAAGTGAAGAAAGTGTTTCCAGAAAGAAGGTGTTTCAAATACTGTTGTAATTTAGGTGGAGGGGGGGATTGAATGACCGTGGGATTTAGTAATGTGGAGGTCATTGGTGACCTTGACAAAGAAAGTAGCTTTTGGTAGAATAGAGAGCCCACAACCATGATTGGGGTTAAAGAAAGAACTATCTTCTTGACTAGGAGGAATAAAAATTGATACAGCAAGTTTAGACAGTTTTTGGTAGAAGTTACCTTATTTCAACATAATTTTGTAAATACATACAGAAATTAATTAAAATTTTGATAAAAGGGCTTATACAAGACAAAATCGTTTTAGTGATAAAACTTTTTTCCTCTTGATTTTTCTTGTAACATAAATATTTTCTTTTCAAAAATAATATCTTTTAGATTTTAATATTTAAGCTAAAAAGGCTTTGTCTTACTACTTTTCACACTATTATTCTGATATTTGGAATTTTTTTTGTGTGTGAGATGGAGTCTCACTCTCAGGTGGGAGTGCAGTGGCATGATCTCAGCTCACTGCAACCTCTGCTTCCCAGGTTCAAGTGATTCTCCTGCCTCAGCCTCCTGAGTAGCTGGGATTATAGGCATGTGCCACCACACGTGGCTGATATTTGTATTTTTAGTAGAGACAGGGTCTCATCATGTTAGCCAGGCTGGTCTTGAACTCCTGACCTCTGGTGATCCACTTGCCTCAGCTTCCCTCAGCTGGGATTACAAGTGTGAGCCACTGCAACCAGCCCAAAACAAATATTTTTAAAAGAGCTATGCTGGCCGGGCGCAGTGGCTCATGCCTGTAATCCCAGCACTTTGAGAGGCTAAGGCGGGCGATCATGAGGTCAGGAGTCTGAGACCAGCCTGGCCAACATAGTGAAACCCCGTGCCTACTAAAAATACAAAAAATTAGCTGGGCATAGTAGCAGGCGCCTGTAATCCCAGCTACTCGGGAGGCTGAGGCAGGAGAATTGCTTGAACCTGGGAGGCAGAGGTTGCAGTGAGTGGAGATTGCACCACTACACTTCAGCCCAGGCAACAGTGTGAGACTCCGTCTCGAAAGAAAAAAAAAAAGGCTATTGGTTTTCTGAGTTTAGCTTGTGCATGAAAGTACTTACTGGCTTAAAGTAAATTAAATGCTAGTATTTAGCACACAGCCTTATGGTTTACGGCCGTTTTTCTTCTCGCTTTTTTTTTGGTGGGGGTGGGGGTGGGAATAGATTTCTCCTTGTCAATGTTGGTACCTTATAGACACTGATGATGAGAATTACTCAAGTACAAATGTAGCAAAGATGCCTCCTAGTGGCTGCCTGTTGGAATTGCATTTGAGTCTTGCAAATTATTCGTTGGGGAAATAATTTTTGAGTACAGTGTGTATGAAGCACTCTGCTGTATGTACAAGCACGTGATCTTTGCCCTCTTGGAGCTTCCAGTCTAGGAAAGGGGGAAGGCATTCATCAAATGATCATAAAAACTGAATTTTTTTTGGTTATATGGAGTTTCTCCCTTGTCACCCAGGCTGGAGTGCAGTGGTGCAATCTCAGCTCATTGCAACCTCAACGCTTCCCAGGTTCAAACGATTCTCCTGACTCAGTCTTCCAAATAGCTGAGATTACAGGTGCCCACCACCACACCCAGCTAATTTTTGTGTATTTTGTATAGACGAGGTTTTGCCGTGTTGGCCAGGCTGGTCTCGAAGTTCTGACCTCAGGTGATCAATCCGCCTCAGCCTCTCAAAGTGCTGGGATTACAAGTGTGAGCCACTGCACCCAGATAAAACTGAAAACTTTTAATTCTTCTTTTTTTTTTTTTTAAATGGAGTCTCACTCTCACCCAGGCTGGAGTGCAGTGGCACGATCTCAGCTCACTGCAACCTTCGCCTCCCAGGTTCAAGCGATTCTTTTGCCTCCATCTCCTGAGTAGCTGGGACTACAGGCTTATGCCACCACACCCAGCTAATTTTTGTAGAGATGGGGCTTCACCATGTTGTCCAGTCTGGTCTTGAACCCCTGACCTCAGGTGATCTGCCTGCCTTGGCTTCCCAAAGTGCAGGGATCACAGGCACGAAGCACCGCACTCAGCCAATTCTTATATGTATTAATGAAAACCTAAAATAAAGATATTTCACCTAATCAGAGAGTCAAGAAAAGTGATATTTGAACTGAGATTTGAAGAATTGCTGGAGGCTAAGGGGGAAGAAAGTGTGTTTTAGGCATAGAAAACAGCATTTTCAAAAAGCTCAATGATAGGAAGAAGCATAGTGACATAAGAAACTCTGGTGAAGGCCAGTGTAGCTGGAACAGGGATAAAGAAATAAGAAACTTGGATAGAATGAGAAAATACTGCATTTTATAGGCAGTGATAAAGAGTTGTGTTTAACTGGATGTGGTGGCTCATACCTATAATTCAAATACTTTGGGAGGCCAAGGCAGGTGGATTGCTTGAGTTCAAGGAGTTCAGGAGCAGCCTGGGCAACATGATGAAATCTCCTCTCTGCAAAAATTTAGCTGGGCATGGTTGTGTGTGCTTGTAGTACCAGTTACTCAGGAGTCTTTGGTGGGAGGATTGCCTGAGCCCAGCAGGCTGCAGTGAGCCAAGATTGCATCACTGTACTCCAGCCTGGGCAACAGAGCAAGACCCTGTTTCAAAAAAACAGAAGTATTGCATCTATTTTAAAATCAATTGTAAACTATAACAGAATAAGGGTGGGAAACATAATCAGATTTGTGTGTTTTTAATTGTGGTAAAATATACTTAACCTACACATAACTTACCATTGTAAACATGTGGTTTATTGATGTTAAGTACAGTTACACCGTTATGCAACCATCACCACCATTCATCCTGGATTCGTGGAGGGGTTTTAATTTTTGTTTTTGTAATTTCAACTTTTAGATTGAGGAAGTACATGTACAGATTTGTTACATGGGTATATGCTGAGGTTTGGGGTATGATTGATTGCACCATCCAGGTAGGGAGCATAGAGTACCCAATTGTTAGTTTTTCAACTCTTCCTCCTTCCCTCCCTTCTCCCTCTAGTAGTCCCCAGTGTCTATTATTGCCATCTGTATGTTCATGTATACCCAGTGTTTAGCTCCCACTTACGAGAACATGTGGTATTTGGCTTTCTTTTCCTGAGTTAATTTGATTAGGATAATGGCCTCCAGCTGCATCTGTATTGCTGCAAAGGACATGATTTCATTCTTTTTTTGTGGCTGTGTAGTATTCTGTAGTGTGTATGTACCATGTTTTCTTTATCCATTTAACTTGGATGGACACCTAGGTTGATTCCTTGTCTTGCTATTGTGAATAGTGCTGCGATGAACATTTGAGTGCATGTGTGTTTTTTGGTAGAGTGATTTATTTTCTTTTGATGTATACTCAGTAATGGGATTGCTAGATGGAATGGTGGTTCTGTTTTAAGTTCTTTGAGAAATCTCTGTACTGCTTTCCACAGTGGCTGAATTAATTTATATTCCCACCATGCCTGGGATTACAGGCATGAGCCACCTAACCTGGCCAAAGAATGATCTTTGAATGGATCCTGGATATTAAATGCATTATTGTGACAACTGGGAAAATTGAACACTAACTTTATATTATACAGTAGTCTAGCAATACAAAATTGCCTAACTGTGGTAAAATAACATCCTCATGTTTAGGAGATAAATGTTGAAGTATTACTATTTGGAGGTGAAGTGTTTTGAGTCTGTAATCTAATCTCAAATGGTTCAGCAAATAACTAAAACCAGCTTTATCCACAGATTCCAACATTGTCTGCTTAAAAGATCCCAAATAGTCTTCGAAAGAACTATTAGAATTAATAAGTGGATTCAGCAAGTTCACAGGACCCAGATTCAGCATACACAGTCTATCATATTTTTATGTATTAGAAATGAACAATTCATAATGAAATTTAAATAAGTATTATTTATAATCGCAGACAAAAAAACCATGAAATACTTAGGTATAATTGTAACAAACTATGTTTAAGATTTATAGGCGGGAAACTACCAAATAATGAAAGAAATCTAAGAAATAGAAATAAACCATATATCTTAGTCAAAACCCAGATATATTAAAGTTAGAATTTAAGTTAGAAGAAACAAAAATTTAAGTTAGAAACAATCTCTTCTTCTAAAAACCTATTGAGGTTTATTGAGAAAGAAATAGAGCTTGAGGGCCAGGTGTGGTAGCTTACACCTGTAATCCCAGCACTTTGGGAGGCCAAGGTAGGTAGATCACAAGGTCAGGAGATTGAAGCCATCCTGGCTAATGCAGTGAAACCCCGTCTCTACTGAAAAATTAGCCGGGTGTGGCCGCATGTGCCTGTAGTCCCAGCTACTTGAGAGGCGAGGCAGGAGAATCACTCGAATCTGGGAGGTGGAGGCTGCAGTGAGCCGAGATCACGCCGCAGCACTCCAGCTTGGCAACAGAGCAAGATTCTGTCTCAAAAAAAAAGAAGAAGAAATAGAGATTGAGACCAGGTGCAGTAGCTCTTGCCTGTAATCCCAGCACTTTGGGAGCTGAGGTGGGCAGATCATCTGAGGTTAGGAGTTTGAGACTAGCTTACTAGCTTAGCCAACATGATGAACCCCTGTCTCTACTAAAAATACAAAAGTTAGCCAGGTGTGATGGTGGGCACCTTTAATCCCAGCTATTCGGGAGGCTGAGGCAGGAGAATCACTTGAACCCAGGAGGTTGCAGTGAGCTGAGATGATGCCATTGCACTCTAGCCTGGGCAACAAGAGTGAAACTCCATCTCAAAAAAAAAAAAAAGAGTGAGATTGGCAAGATATTGGAGACTAGTGATTTCAAAGTTGTCAGTAGAAGTTGGAAACTTAAAAGGATGGTTTCACTAAAGCAACCTAAATATACACGCATATATATGTGTCTGTAGGTAGATAGGTAGGTAGATAGATATCTCCAGGAAGATAAGAACATAAAAGTAATAGTCCCTACAGGGAAAACTGGAAGGGCAGTGATGAGAAAGGAGAATTTTTACTGTATACCCTTTGTATTTTTTGGATTTTTTACCATGTGAATGTATTACATAGGTGCTGTGGCTCATATCTATAAAAGACAGGCCCAGTGCCGTGGCTTATACCTATAATCCCAGCACTTTGGGGGATGGAGGTGGGAGAATCACTTGAGTCCAGGAGTCGGAGACCAGCCTGGACAGCATAGTGGGATCCCATATAAAAAAAAAAAAAAAAAAAAAAAAAATTAGCTGGGCCTGTTGGTGCACACCTACAGCTAGTGCTCAACTTACGACCACGGTCGGGACCGTGGACAGGTTGTAACACGATTTGGTCGTAAGTTGAGTAGGCTATACGTACAGTTGAAATGGTGCCCACGGAGATGGTAGTGCTGCCGGAAGCTGGTCCGCACTGTCGTACGCCCAGCCAGGCAACGTTTGCGCTGCCAGACGTGGAGCAGTCGTGGCTAGCGATTGTGGTCGTAAAATCGAATGGTAGTAAGTTGCATAGGTGGTAAGTCGATCAATACGTGTATAGTCCCAGCTGCTTCAGAGGTTGACGTAGGAGGATCACTTGAGCCCAGGAGATCGAGGCTGCAGTGAGCCGTGATTGTGCCACTAACTGCCTCCATGTTTTATTTTTATTATTTTGTCAATCAGGGAGCTTTATTTTCTGTTACAAAGAGGTAAATGTGTCTTTGTGAGCTTATCTGGATTATAATTAGCTTTTAGTGGTCGCATGTGTTCTGTTCTACTGCTCAGAGGGTTGAATTGCTCTTTGAAGAGTCTGGTTAGTAATGATTTTGCTATTTTCGAGTGGGAGTAATTGACTTGAATTATTTTGTTGGACTCTGAGCATGTTTGAATTGCCAGTTATTTCTGATGGGCGCTAATGGGGAAGTTTAAGGAAAAGGACAAAGAGCTTCCTTTTGTTTAACAAAAAAAAAAAAAAAAAAGAGACCTACTGAAAGGGGACAAAAATTGTTTAACCTCTTGTCTGAAAATCTTTTGCTTTTAATTTAGGCCTTTCCCTTAAGTAGTTCACAATAAGCCAAAGAGGTGGAAATTAATGTTTTCTCCTTTCTGTCTCCTCTTCCTCATTTATTGGAAACAAAAGAAAAATTTATATTGTTTCATTTATGTTGTCTTATATATTACAGAAAAGTAGATGGTTTCTATAAATCATTTTTATTTTCTTCTGTTTCAGTTTTATTGATCTTTTTTATGGTCTGGGTTGACCATATCTAATAGGTCTACAGGCAGAAGTTTAGGCATTGTTTTTATGTGGAGCTAATCAAGGAGAAGGATAAAAGTAAGAGCCTTCTTTTTCAGGCTCACTGAAAGGGAGAACTGTTGCTCTCCAAAGGTCGGTCATATGGTTGGTAAAGGGCATTAAAATGCTCGGTTTTCGATTTTGGATTTTCTTCCAAGTGACTGGTACTCATTCTGTAAGTTTTGATGTAGGTACTTTACTTATCTAGGGATTAACAGGAACTTTACACACAGCCATTGGTACTTCTGTTTGTAGGATAAGCTCTCATTTTGTCCTTTTTCTTCAAAATTATCTTGATTAATCCTGGCCCTTTGTGCTTAGCCTATCAAATTCTACAATAGTCCTTTTGGGATTTTGGTTAGAATTACATTGACTTTGTAGATTATTTTGGGAAGAATTAATATCTATTATAACAGGTATTCCTATCTGTGAATGTGATTGGTTTCTTCATTTATATAGATTATCTTTTTAATGTTTCAAAATAGATCCTATGATTTTCATAACAGGTATATATACCTTTTGCTAAATTTGTTCCTAAATACCTTATATTTTGTTCATTGTTAAAATAAGATTATTTAAAAATTTTTATTTTCTAAATTTTGCTATTGTATAGAAATACTGTTGACTTATATATTGGGTTTGTATTTAACAACTTTGCTAAACTTTCCTATTGTAATAATTTCTTTTTGGTTTTCAGTGTAGAAATGAAATTATCTCAGCTGGTTGTTTCAAGATTAAAAAATGAAGTGAAATTATCTGCAATAATAGTATTATTTTCTCCTTTCCATTTTGTGTACCTTTTATTTTTATTATCTTACTGTGCTGGGAAGGACTCAGTATAGTATTAGAAGAGAAGCAATGATACAAGGTATAGTTTTCTTATTTCTGCATTTTAAAGGGAATACATTTAACATTTTATCTTTAAGATGATCATTACAGAATTCTAGTGGATGGACTTTATCAGGTTAAGGCAGTTCCCTTTTATTCTTACTTTGCTAGAAAGTCTTATCATGAAAGAAGTTTGAATGTTATCAAATGCTTTTCTGCATCTATTGAGACAAACTGTGTAGATTTTCTCTTTTAATCTGTTGCTGTCATACTCTTCCATCTAATACTTCTTGCTTTTTCTGCTCCATTCCCCCAGGTGATTTATGGAGTTATGATTTCTTCAGTGGTGAGTTTGTGGTGTCACCTGAACCAGACACAAGTGTCCACACTCTTGACCCTCAGAAGCACAAGTATATTATATTGGGGAGTGATGGACTTTGGAATATGATTCCACCTCAAGATGCCATCTCAATGTGCCAGGACCAAGAGGAGAAAAAATACCTGATGGTGAGAAGTGATTCAATAACTTGATATTGTTGTCTAAACATTGTTTTGGTATTTCTGTCAGGTTGTTGAATATGAATTAAGTACATTCACCTTGAGTAGATTTTTGCATTTGCCTGGATCTGCTAGTGGGTAAAACATAGGCTTTGTAGATCCTAATCATTAGGGGAATGAGGCAAGAAATAAGTAAGAGAAACCTAATAACAAAATACACAACCACTGACTTCAGTATAAATTGGCCTATGAAATATTGCTAATTCCTTATTTTAAAAATGATATAATTTGTGTACCATAAAATTTATCCTTTTAAAGTATATAATTCAGTGATTCTTAGTGTAGTTCACAAAGCTGTGCAACCATCACCACTACTTTTTTTTTTTTTTTTTTTTTTTTTTTTGAAACTGAGTCTCGCTCTGTCTCCCAGGCTGGAGTACAGTGGTGTGATCTCAGCTCACTCTTAACCTCTGCCTCCCAGGTTCAAGCGATTCTTCCACCTCAGCCTCCCAAATAGCTGAGACTACAGGCATGGGCCACCACACCCAGCTAACTTTTTGTATTTTTAGTGGAGATGGGGTTTCACCATGTTGGCCAGGCAGGTGTCGAACTCCTGACCTCAGGTGATCTGCCTGTCTCAGCCCCACAAAGTGCTGGGATTACAGGTGTGAGGCACCATGCCTGGCCTCCATTACCACTACTTCTACTACTTTTTTTTTCCCCCCAAGCGATGAAGTCTCACTGTGTTCCCCCAGGCTCGTTTAGAACTCCTAGGCTTAAGCAGACCTCTCACCTGAGCCTCCTGATTACCTGGGACTACTGTGCTGCTATGCCCAGCTTCTAATCTCACAACATTTTCATCATCATCCCCTAACAGAGTACATGGATGTATCTGGAATCAAAGACCCACAGATGGGTTATCCTTAGAAAAGGTGATCTTTCTCTTAGATGGAAGAAATGGTAAAGCTGTATTTTGAGGTGAAACGAGGGGCAAATTGATTGAATTTTTGTTAAGTTGCCTCCATTCAGGCCAGGTGTGGTGGCTCAAACCTGTAATCCCAGCACTTTGGGAGGCCGAGGCGGCTGGATCACCTAAGATCAGGAGTTCAAGACCAGCTTGGCCAACATGGTGAAACCCCGCCTTTACTAAAAATACAAAATTAGCCAAGTGTAGTGGCACACGCCTATAGTCCCAGCTACTTAGGAGGCTGAGGCAGGAGACTCTCTTGAACCTGGGAGGCAGAGGTTGCAGTGAGCCAAAGTTATGCTATTGGATTCCAGCCTGGGTGATAAGAACAAAACTCTGTCTCAAAAAAAAAAAAAAAAATTGCCTCCATTCATTCACTCAACTAACATATTAGGCACAGGGGTTACAAAAGTAAATAGAATATGGTCCTTCCTCAGCACTTACCATATTGTTATAAATAGAATATACAAATAACTAACAATCCCATTAGATTATGAGTTCTTTAAAGGTGAGAGTCATTTTGATTCAGTTTTACAATTTCAGGGCCTGGTGTGTTGCATTTAGTCAGAGATTATTAGATATCAAAGAGTAGCATAAAGACTCTTCTGTCCAATGGATTTAGAATTCTTTAATGATCTGAGAGAGATCATTTCAATGGCATGAAAACAAAAACTAGTTTGTAGTAGGTTGGAAGAACCTATTTATGGACACTAAAGTGTTTTAAGATGAGTATTGAAGGAAGCATCCGTATAATAATAATTAGAACAAGTCTTATGAGACCTGAGAGAGTGAGACAATAGAAAACTTCAGAAGATTGCATAGGAAGCTTCATGGAAGAGAGTGATATTTGAGCAAGAAAGTTTGTAGGATTGATCTAAGGCAACAATGGTTTTTGGAAAAAAACACAAATACATGTAGGCCTGGCGCGGTGGCTTACGCCCGTAATCCCAGCATTTTGGGAGGCCAGGGCGGGTGGATCACTTGAGGTCAGGAGTTCAAGACCACCCTGGCCAATATGGTGAAACTCCATCTCTACTAAAAATACAAAAATTAGCTGGGCGTGGTGGCATGCGCCCGTAATCTCAGCTACTTGGGGGGCTGACACAGGAGAATCACTTGAACCCAAGAGGCAGAGGTTGCAGTGAGCTGAGATTGTTCCACTGCACTTCAGCATGGTTGACAGAGTGAAACTTTTGGTCTCCAAAAAAAAAAAAAAAAAAAAATTTGAGTGGACATAACTACACTTAAAAATAGAGATTTTAAAACACACTTTAAAAATTTCGAAGTAAACTATACATATTTACTTCAAATATATATGGTTTTTGTGTATAAAAATGTATACTTTTGTGTGTATGTATGTAAAGAAATTTGTACACTTTCAAGTGGTACAAATGGTAAATCTCTCTCTCTGCGAGATTGTATCTTTCTGTGCTTAGATTATTTTATTTAGCATGATGGCCTCCAGTTCCATCCATGTTGCTGCAAATGACAGGATTTCAGGCTTTTCTATGGCTGAATACTATTTCATTTTATATATATATATATATATACACACGCACACGCACACACACAACATTTTCTTTCTTTTTTTTTTTTTTTTAATCTTTTTTCCTCCCCATGCTCCCAGTGCACTGAATAACATTTTCTTTATCCATTCATCTGTTAAGTGAAATTGACGTGGGAGGATTTCTGGACTATTGTGAATAGTGTTGCAATAAATATGGGAGTGCAGACAGACCTTCAGTGTATTGATTGTCTTTCTTTTGGATATATGTATAGTAGTGGAATTGTTGGATCATATGGTAATTTATTTTTTTTTTTTTTTTTTTTTTTTTTTTTTTGAGGAACCTTCATACTGTTCTTCATAGTGGCTACACTAATTTACATTCCTGCTAACATTGTTTGAGGGTTCCCGTTTCTCCACATCCTCAGCATCATTTGCAGTTGCCTTTTTTTGATACAAACCATTTTAACTGGCATGAGATGATACATCATTGTGGTTTGATTTGCATTTCTCTGATGATTATGTATTTTCGTTTGCCTATTTTTGCTTTGGTTGCTGGTGCTTTTAAGGTCTCATGCAAAAATTGTGAGCATTTCTTCCATGTTTTCTTCTAGTAGTTTCATAGTTTGTGAGATCAAAGTAGATCTCACAAAGAGAGAGAATAGAATTGTGGTTACCTATTCCACCAATTGAGGTCTTAGATTTAAGTCTTTAATCCAGTTTGATTTGATTTTTGTGTATGGTGAGAGATAGGCGTATTGTTTCATTCTTCTGCATATAGTTATCCAGTTTTCCCAGCACCATTTATTGTTGCTCTTGGCACCTTTGTTGAAGATGAGCTGGCTGCAAATTGTGTGGATTTAAATTTGAGTTCTCTGTTCTGTTCCATTGATCTATGTGTCTGTTTTTGTAGCAATACCATGCTATTTTTGTTACTGTAGCTCTCTTGTATAGTTTGAAGTCAGGTAGTGTGATGCCTCCAGCTTTGTTCTTTTGGCTTAGAATTGCTTTGGCTATTCAGGATCTTTTGTGGTTCCATATAAATTCTGAGCTTAAAGAAAAAATTATGTGAAGAATGTCATTGCAATTTTGATAGGTATTGAATCTTTAAATTGCTTTGGGCACTATTGTCATGTTAACAGTGTTAATCCATCCAGTCCATAAGCATGGACCATCTTTCTATTTTTTTGTGTCCTCTTCAATTTCTTTCATCAGTATTTTCTAGTTTTCCTTTATAGATCTTTCACAACTTTGGTTAAATTGATTACTAGGTATTTTATTATTTGTATACCTGTTGGAAATGGGATTGCTTTCTTGATTTCTTTTTCAGATTGTTTGCTGTTGGTATAGTAAATGCTGCTGATTTTTGTATGTTGATCTTGTGTCCTGCAATTTCACTGCATTTATCAGCTCTAACAGTTTTTTTGGTGGCATTTTTGGTTTTTATAGTTAGGGGATCATGTTATCTGCAAACAAGGCTCATTTGACTTCTTCGTTTCCAATTTGGATTCCCTTTATTTCTTTGTCTTGCCTAATTACTCTGGCCAGGACTTCCAGTATTGTTTTTTTTTTTTTTCCTGACACAGAGTCTTGCTCTGTCTCCTAGGCTGGAGTGCAGTGGCACGATCTTGGCTCACTGCAACCTCTGCCTCCCGGGTTCAACAGATTCTCCTGCCTTAGCCTCCTGAGTAGGTAGGATTACAGGTGCCTACCAACACACCTGGCTGATTTTTGTATTTTTAGTAGAGACAGAGTTTCACCATATTGGTCAGGCTGGTCTTGAACTCCTGACCTCAAATGATCCACGTGCGTCAACCTCCCAAAGTGCTGAGATTACAGGCGTGAGCCACCACGGCCAGGCAACTTCTAGTATTGTATTGAGTAACAGTAGTGAGAGTGGGGCATCTTTGTTTATTTCAGTCGTTAGAGGAAAGACCTTCAATTTTTTTCCCCATTCAGTATGATGTTAGCTGTGGGTTTGTCATTTTGAGGTATATATCTACTATACTCACCTTTGATGAGAGGTTTTTTATCATAAAAGAAATGTTCAATTTTATGAAATGCTTTCTCAGCATCTATTGAAATAATACGCTTTTGTTTTTGTTTATGAGACAGAATCTCACTTTGTCATCCAGGCTGGAGTGCAGTGGTACAAACTTGGCCCACTGCAACCTCCACCTCCTGGGTTCAACTGATTCTCCTGCCTCAGCCTTCTGAATAGCTGAGGTGGGAGGATCACTTGAGCCCAGGAGGTTGAGACTACAGTAAGCCGAGGTCACATCACTGCACTCCAACCTGGGTGACAGAGGGAGACCCTGTCTCAAAGACAACAAACAAACAGATTTCCACTCTTTTTCATCGTTCATTTATTTCTTCAGGTACTTTTAATACATGTAGGCAGCCGGGCGCGGTGGCTCACACCTGTAATCCTAGAACTTTGGGAGGCTGAGGCGGGTGGCTCACTTGAGGTCAGGAGTTCGAGACCAGCCTGGCCAACATGGTGAAACTCCATCTCTACTAAAAATAAATAAATAAATAAATAAATAAAATTAGCTGGGTGTGGTGTTGGGTACCTGCAATCCCTGCTACTAGGGAGGCTAAGGCAGAAGAATTGCTTGAACTGGGGAGGTGGAGGTTGCAGTGAGTTGAGATCGCACCATTGTACTCCAGCCTGGGCAACAAGAGCAAAACTCCATCTCAAAAAAAAAAAAAACAAAACAAAAACCATGTAGGCTTATTTTCTGGAGTACATCATTTTCATTTCTATTCTGTGAAACCTAGCAGATTTTAAATTTATATATGACACTGAAAGTTTTATTCCAAGCCACATTTATTTGCATAAAATGAGATCCTTTTGGTTTTGTTTCCTTTACTCATTTGGTTGGTATATATTTGTTCTCCATACTTTTTAAATTTTATTTTTATTTTTATTTTTATTTTTTTTGAGACGGAGTTTCGCTCTTATTACCCAGGCTGGAGTGCAATGGCGCAATCTCGGCTCACCGCAACCTCCGCCTCCTGGGTTCAAGCAATTCTCCTGCCTCAGCCTCCCGAGTAGCTGGGACTACAGGCATGCGCCACCATGCCCAGCTAATGTTTTGTATTTTTAGTAGAGACGGGGTTTCACCATGTTGACCAGGCTGGTCTCGATCTCTTGACCTCGTGATCTACCCGCCTCGGCCTCCCAAAGTGCTGGGATTACAAGCGTGAGCCACCGCGCCCGGCCTGTTCTCCATACTATAAGCAGTTACCGTGTTATTTTTTCCCCATATGAGTGACATTGACTGTTTATATGTATAAACACACACACACACACACACACACACACACACACACACACACACACACACAGACACATACACACATATATAAGTTGTTTGTATTTCCTTTTCTCTGGATTTTGTTTATATCCTTTGACAATTTTTATGTTGAGTCGTTGTTTTCAATTTGTAGAAGCTCTTATGTTAGGAGGAAATTGACCCTCTGTAATGATTTTTTTCACCATGCCTGATTGTCTTGTTTGTGAATTATGTTTTCTAAATAACTTGATGTTTACTTTCTTTTTAAGTAACTTTTTTATAACTTTTTCTAATTAAAGTTACAGCGAAGGCTGAGTTTCTTGATAATAACATCTGAGTGAAATTTAATGACAGTCTGAAACCATGTTTTGTTAGTATTTGTTTTAATTCAGAAAAGTACTATTTTAATATAGCTAAGGAGACTGGGGATAATGTGTGAAAATTTGGGAGCTTTATTTAGGCCACAATGAACACCAATTATTTAATTTGATATAGATGTAGTGGCAGCTAAATCTGAGTTACTTTCCTTCTCCTTATTCTTTTGAATACAGGGTGAGCACGGACAATCTTGTGCCAAAATGCTTGTGAATCGAGCATTAGGCCGCTGGAGACAGCGTATGCTCCGAGCAGATAACACTAGTGCCATAGTAATCTGCATCTCTCCAGAAGTGGACAATCAGGGAAATTTTACCAATGAAGATGAGTTATATCTGAACCTGACTGATAGCCCTTCCTATAATAGTCAAGAAACCTGTGTGATGACTCCTTCCCCATGTTCTACACCACCAGTAAAGGTATATAGTTCCATAGTTTTTAAGTTATATTTTAGTTGTCATCAATTCTTTGGTTAGTGTCACCTGGAAACAATTTTTAAATTCTTACAGGATTTTGGATTTGAACTCGATTCAACAAAGTGATGTAACTTATTATCAAAGAGCCATCTTTACATCAGTACTAATCTGAATGCCAGCTGTGTGTACAGAACTAATAAAAAGGTGATTTTGGCTCCTTAAAAATATTATTGTTTGCCGTCTAATGCCATGAACATTATTTTTAAAGTATTTAGAAGTTAGTGAAGCACTTAAATATATTTTATTTGAATCTCATAGTCCAGAAGTAGAGCAAATGTTATTATTTCATTTTATCAGTAATAAACCCGAGAGATTAAACTGTCCAAACAAGGTCGTAGAGAATCAAGATTGAGCTGGACCTGAGGATAGCAGACATTAGAACTGGTTGTCTGTTAACTTGTATAAGAAACCTTATTCCTCAGCTGGGCACAGTGGCTGATGCCTGTAATCCCAGCACTTTGGGAGGCCGAGGCAGGCGGATCACGAGGTCAAGAGATCGAGACCATCCTGGCCAACATGGTGAAACCCCGTCTCTACTAAAATACAAAAATTAGCTGGGCGTGGTGGCGCACACCTGTAGTCCCAGCTACTTAGGAGGCTGAGGCAGGAGAATTGCTTGAACCCAAGAGGTGGAGGTTGCGGTGAGCCGAGATTGTACCATTGCTCTCCAGCCTGGTACCTGGTGACAGAGCAAGACTCTGTCTAAAAAAAAAAATAAATCTTATTCCTGTTTTTTATCCATGTTAATATTGAATGAGTGTAAGATATGCTGTGAAATAAGCAAATTTTAAGTTGATATCATACTTTCCTGTTTTGATTTACTAAGAATTCAAATACCTGGTTGTGTTTTCATCCTAATTTTTTCCCAATAAAAATTAGCAATATTGATTGATAATTGCTTTAATATATAGTATGGCTAATCTGGCCTTCTGAGAATGTGTTTTCAGTAGACTGACCATTAAAATGGGAAATATAGCAAAATCTAATGTCATCTATTCAGGCAGTTTTTTAAAGTGTTAGAGGCCTTTAAATTTGGGCATTGTAATCCTGTAGTCAGTATTTGGAAATGTATTGTCACTGCTTGGCTTTCTTTCGCTTTACATACATATGGCAAAAAAAAACACATATGGTCAGATGAAATGGAATATTTTCTTTTTTTGAGACAGAGTTTCACCCTTGTGGCCCATGGTGGAGTGCAGTGACATGATCTTGTCTCACTGCAACATCTACCTCCTGGGTTCAAGCAATTCTCCTGCCTCAGCTTCCCAAGTAGCAGGGATTACAGGTACCTGCCACCTACGCCCTGCTAATTTTTTGTATTTTTAGTAGAGATGAGGTTTTACCATGCTGGCCTGGCTGGCCTTGAGCTCCTGGTCTCAGGTTATCCACTCACATCCGCCTCCCAAAGTGCTGGGATTACAGGTGTGAGCCACTGTGCCCTGCCAAAATGGAGTATTTTAATTTACAAAAGCTTTCATTGAAAACTGAATGGTAATGCACGTTGAAACCTTTTAAAACCTTTATTTTCTTTTTGAAGCTGTGAAGGAGCTTATGTTTGTGTATTTGCCTATTTCTGAATATTTGTATGTAATTATTACTTTTATGTTCCCTGATAAACTGACCTTTAGGTAGTATAGAGAAGGAGACATTAGGGTGGGGAACAGTGTGAGGGACAAAAGGGCATTCTTTTATATATATATATGTATATGTATATGCATATATTTTTTTTAAAAGACGGGGATTCACCATGTTGGTCAGGCTGGTCTTGACCTCCCGACCTTCGGTGATCTGCCCGCCTTGGCCTCCAAAGTGCTTGGATTGCAGGTGTGAGCCACCATGCCCGGCCCAAAAGGGCATTCTTAATATTGACCCCAAATAAAAATTATTGCAGTCTACTGATTGGCATTAGTAAACCCATACATAAAATATATTTTTAAAATTACTTAAATTCTGATAGTGACCTAATAATAATAACAAAGTAAAGATAAGGAGATGTATGTATGCCAAAACTTATATGCAGGTATAGTTATTTGTTAACCAGTTGGCCCTGCCCAAATACAGGAAAATATTTAGATTAATTCAGAATAATTAATATTGTTGGCTCTGATCTAACAAGTAACAAAGACAAATTTCTGCCCAGAAATTGTTTTTGGTTTATTTATTTACCTTAATTGACATAAAGTTGAATATTCCTGACTATATTTTATCTATATCATTTATATCATTATTAAAGTTATCTCATGTTTAGTAGCATAGAGATAAATTTATTTTTATTTTATTTTTATTTTTATTTTTTTTTTTTGGGACGGAGTTTCGCTCTTGTTACCCAGGCTGGAGTGCAATGGCGCGATCTCGGCTCACCGCAACCTCCGCCTCCTGGGTTCAGGCAATTCTCCTGCCCCAGCCCCCTGAGTAGCTGGGATTACAGGCACACGCCACCATGCCCAGCTAATTTTTTGTATTTTTAGTAGAGACGGGGTTTCACCATGTTGACCAGGATGGTCTCGATCTCTTGACCTCGTGATCCACCCGCCTCGGCCTCCCAAAGTGCTGGGATTACAGGCTTGAGCCACCGCGCCCGGCCCTTATTTTTATTTTTTTTAAAGACAGGGTTTCACCATATTGGTCAGGCTGGTCTCGAACTCCTGACCTCAGGTGATCCACCTGCCTCAGCCTCCCAAAGCGCTGGGATTACAGGCGTGAGTCACCACGCCCGGTGCATAGAGACAAATTTAATGATTGTTTGGATAATGTTGAATAGTTTCAGAGACTTATTCACATTCACACTAGGCATTTGAGAGTAGATTTGTCTGTTAACATGTCAACTTCCATTTGAATTCTGACATAAATTAGCCTTTGTTTTGGGATGAAGATAGTGGAAAAGCCTTTGTTTAAGTGGTAGATCACTGTGACTCACATTTCTTTCTCTTTGTTTAGGGCAAAACTAAATTTAGCTATATTTTACAAGCTAAGATTTATAAGAAAGGAATGGAGAAGAGAGGAAAGAGATTCAGAAAATTAAAACTTAAGATTTAGTTGTGTTTTAGGCACCAGTTTGTAATTAATTGTTTAATATTGGATTACAGGGTAGATGGGAGGAGAAAGTTGATCTCTGAAGCAGTGAACTTTTTTAAAGTATGTATTTTTAGGGGGCAACCTCAATATAACATAACTGTTTTATGAACATGCAGGGCTTAGCAATACAAATCAATCTGGGGTAAGTCTAAAAAGTCTAAACAGTTGCCTGTGCTAACAGATGCAATGTATTCCCACCAAATGCCAATAAAAAGAGAAGGAAAAGGAAAAGTTCAAGGAGAAAGTGGGGGAAGGGAAGCCAGCATACCTGTAGTGTCAGAATAATAATAATCTATGCATTTAAAAAGATATAGCTGGCCGGGCGCCGTGGCTCACTCCTGTAATCCCAGCACTTTGAGACGCCAAGGCGGGCGGATCGTGAGGTCAAGAGATCAAGACCATCCTGGCCAACATGGTGAAACCCCATCTCTACAAAACTTAGCTGGGGGTGGTGGTGCACACCTGTAGTCCCAGCTACTTGGAATGTTGAGGCAGGAGAATCCCTTGAACCCAGGAGGGGAAGGTTGCAATGAGCTGAGATTATGCCTTTGCACTGCAGCCTGGCGACAGAAAAAGGCACACAGCTAAACAGAAATTACAATATATTATGTTAACTCTGAAATCATCCCATTATTTTTCTTTTATAGAGGAATTCCTGTTACTCAGAATTCTTTGTTCTTTTCTTCAGTGTCCATTGGTCCTAAAGTCAATATATATGGGTTTTTTAGTAAAGCATATTAATGTTTGTGGTTAGATTGAGATCATTTTAGAAACAAGTTTCTGGGCCAGGTGTGGTGGCTCACCCCTATAATCCCAGCACTTTGAGGGGCCAAGGCAGGTGGATCACTTGAGGTCAGGAGTTTGAGACCAGCCTGGCCAACATAGTAAAACCCTATCTCTACTGAAAATACAAAAAATTAGCTAGGCATGGTGGCGGACACATCTATCCCCAGCTACTCGGGAGGCTGAGGGAGAATCACTTGAACCCAGGAGGCAGAGGTTGCAGTGAGCAGATACTGTACCACTGCACTCCAGCCTAGGTGACAGAGCAAGACTCAGTCTCAAAAAAAGAAAAAAAGAAGCTTCTGGGTGCCTTCAGTTTCCCTTTTATTTTTGAACCTCCCTGCCTCTCTTATTTTCCTTTCCTTTTAATTCTAGACAAAGGAAACATTCCTATTATAAGTACACTTTTATATAGCACTTTTAAGAAAGGTGTTTATTAATAGAGGATTTTATATCAGAGAAAGATCAATATGTCTTTATTTTGCCACTCTACAAAAGGATTGCTTGGGCTTTTCAGAATCTATTAGAATTGTAGTAAATTTGATTGAGAGTCCACTTGAGGAAAATTTTACATGTTTTGGGGGAGAGAGTTTTTATGCTTTAACTCTGGACCTTGATAAACTATTAAGACAATGATTTTGTGAAATGTTATTAGTTTGGAAGAGTTGGGTTTGATAGTAAGAATGTTCTTATCTGGAGATGAGCCGATATTCTGCGTATATGTAGATTTAGAGCACTACACCCAAAGTAGTGGTGCATATCTGTCTAGATTGACACGAAGCTTTTTTAAAACAGGACTTTTAAGAACAGTAAGTGCCCTCGATAATTATCTTTTGTTTCATCAACTGGGAATTTCCCTAACCATTTCAGTAGGGGCCCATGTGTACTACTTTTCTCAGATCACAGGACAGTATCTAGTGTTTGCAGGATGGGTACAAAGAAACATTCATCTGAGTTTCCATTATGACATAGCTGCTTTAATATTGTACTTTGCTATAATAATGTGCTTTAATGTTGTAATGTTTTCCACACTACATACTCAAAAATTAGAATTTAGGAGATAGGAAATAAACAAAAAAACCACAAATTTGTTGCTTATCCCACTGAGGTGCTACCATCCCCCCAGTGGTTACACTAGTTTTCATTACTAGAAAATTGAGATTTTAATTTTTGTTATTTATTTATTTATTTGTGAGACAGAGTCTCACTCTGTCACCCAGGCTGGAGTGCAGTGGTACGATCTCTTCTCACTGCAACCTCCACCTCCCGGTCTCAAGCAGTTCTCCTGCCCCAGCCTCCAGAGTAGCTGGGATTACAGGCACGCACCACCATGCCTGGCTAATTTTTGTACTTTTAGTAGAGATGGGGTTTCACCACATTGACCAGGCCGGTTTTGAACTCCTGACCTCAAATGATCTGCCTGCCTCGGCCTCCCAAAGTGCTGGGATTATAAGGGTGAGCCACTGCACCTGGCCAAAAATTGAGATTTTTTTTAAAAGCTTTTTTTTTTTTTTTCTTTTTTGAAATAGGTAATGCTTCATGAATTTGTGTCATCTTCACATGGGGGCTATGCTAATGTTTGTATCATTCCAATTTTAGTATATGTGCTGCTGTAGCAAGCACTTAATGGCATCTTAAATTATTTTTTTGATGGTTCTTATGGAAAATATAAGGCTTTTCTGAAAAACAACTAGAGCAATTTCATCAGCATTATGTTATTGCCAAAAGTAAAATTAAAACATACACTGGCCGGGCATGGTGGCTCACGCCTGTAATCCAAGCACTTTGGAGGCCAAGGCGGGCGGATCACCTGAGGTCGGGAGTTCAAGACCATCCTGACCAACATGGTGAAACCCCGTCTTTAAAAGAAAAAAAAAAAAGGTATACACAGAGTATGTGATACTTTTGATCTTCACCATGTTTGGGTATAGAATAGTGGAAGAGTGAATGTGTGCCTATGGTTAATTTTGAGGGTCTGGTTTGAAATCTTGTTCTTTAATGTGTCTTATTTTTGGTTACCTGCCAGTGGACAGAAAAACTTGTGACCACAGGAATTTTCACCCACTTGAATAGATTATTTTATAATTTCATTTATTACCCTGAAGACAGATTTCAATGTCACTTTTTTTTTTTTTTTTTTTGAGACGGAGTCTTGCTCTGTCGTCAGGCTGGAGTGCAATGGCATGATCTCGGCTCACTGCAACCTCCGCCTCCTGGGTTCAAGCGATTCTTCTGCCTCAGCCTCCCGAATAGCTGGGACCACAGGGGCGTGCAACCTTGCCCAGCTAATTTTTTGTATTTTTAGTAGAGATGCGGTTTCATGATGTTGGCTGGGATGGTCTCGATCTCTTGACCTCTTGAGCCGCCTGCCTTGGCCTCCCAAAGTGCTGGGATTACAGGTGTGAATCACTCTTACTTTATGTTGTCTTCTCACTCAGGTTCCTCCCATTGAACTTTACACATAGTTTAGTAAATAGGTGGTGAACGAATTAGCGAATGCATACCATGTTTTGCCATCCTAATAGCTTCATAAGAAGCCTAATATCACATGCATAGGGTTGTTGAGTTCTAGGATAAATTTTTTCTTATTTGTTTTACCTTATTTTTCAGTCACTGGAGGAGGATTCATGGCCACGACTGAACTCCAAGGACCATATACCTGCCCTGGTTCGTAGCAATGCCTTCTCAGAGAATTTTTTAGAGGTTCCAGCTGAGATAGCTCGAGGGAATGTCCAGGGTGTAGTCATGCCCTCAAAAGATCCAGAACCACTTGAAGAAAATTGTGCTAAAGCCCTGACTTTAAGGATACATGATTCTTTGAATAATAGCCTGCCAGTTGGCCTTGTGCCTACTAATTCAACAAACACTGTCATGGACCAAAAAAATTTGAAGATGTCAACTCCTGGCCAAATGAAAGCCCAAGAAATTGAAAGAACCCCTCCAACAAACTTTAAAAGGACATTAGAAGAGTCCAATTCTGGCCCCCTGATGAAGAAGCATAGACGAAATGGCTTAAGTCGAAGTAGTGGTGCTCGGCCTGCAAATCTCCCCACAACCTCACAGCGAAAGAACTCTGTTAAACTCACCATGCGACGCAGACTTAGGGGCCAGAAGAAAATTGGAAATCCTTTACTCCATCAACACAGGAAAACTGTTTGTGTTTGCTGAAATGCATCTGGGAAATGAGGTTTTTCCAAACTTAGGATATAAGAGGGCTTTTTAAATTTGGTGCCGAAGTTGAACTTTTTTTAAGGGGACAAAATTAAAAGAATATACAGTTTGACTTTTTGGAATTCAGCAGTTTTATCCTGGCCTTGTACTTGCTTGTATTATAAATGTGAATTTTATAGATGTTAGGGTATAAGTTGCTGTAAAATTTGTATACATTTGTATCCACACAAATTCAGTCTCTTACTCTGATACACAGTAATCGTGACAACAGGGCTAAATGTTTAAAGAAATCAAAAGAATCTATTAGATTTTAGAAAAACATTTAAACTTTTTAAAATGCTTATTAAAAAATTTGTATAAGCCACTTGTCTTGAAAACTGCGCAACTTTTTAAAGTAAATTATTAAGCAGGCTGGAAAAGTGATGTATTTTCATAGTGACCTGTGTTTCACTTCATGTTTCTTAGAGACAAGTATCTTTCAAACATTTTTAATTTCTGATTTCATAATTCAGAACTAAATTTTTCATAGAAGTGTTGAGCCATGCTACAGTAAGTCTTGTCCCAATTAAAATACTATGCAGTATCTCTTACATCAGTAGCATTTTTCTAAAACCTTAATCATCAGATATGCTTACTAAATCTTTGGCATAGAAGGAAGTGTGTTTGCCGAAAACAATTCCCTTCTTTTTCATACCAGACCAATGACATTATTAGGTCTTAAAGTAGTTACTACCTTCTCGTGTTTGCTTAAAATATGTGAAGTTTTCCTTGCTATTTCAGTAACAGATGGTGCTGCAAATTCCCAACATGTCTTTAAATTATTTTATATCATACAGTTTTCATTGATTATATGGGTATACGTTCATCTAATAAATCAGTGAACTGTTCTTCATGTTGCTGTATTTGTAGTTGTTGGTTTATTTTAATGGTATGTGCAGGTTGAGTATCCCTATCCAAAATGCTTGGGACCAGAAGTGTTTCAGATTTTTTTAAATTTTGGAATATTTGCTTTATACTTAGCTTTTGAGCGTTCCTAATCCGAAATTCAAAATTCTCTAATGAGCATTTCCTTTGAGCATCATGTCTGCTCTGAAAAAGTTCCCAATTCTGGAGCATTTTGGATTTCGGATTTTCAGATTAGGGATGCTTGACCTGGATTAACGTTCTGTTGTGCCATGATCATGCTTTAAAGTGAGTTTATTTTTTTAATTTATTTATTATTTTGTTTCAGACGGAGTCTCACTCTTTTATCTAGGATGGAGTGCAGTGGCATGATTTCAGCTAACTGCAACCTCTGCCTCCTGGGTTCAAGTAATTCTCTTGCCTCAGCCTCCCTCCCCAGAAGCTGGGGTTACAGGCGTGTGCCACCACACCCAGCTAATTTTTGTATTTTTAGTAGAGACAAGGTTTTACCATGTTGGCCAGACTGGTTTTGAACTCCTGACCTCAGGTAATCTGCCCGTCTGGGCCTCCCAAAGCTCTGGGATTATAAGTGTGAGCCACCGTGTCCTGCCTAGAGTGAGTTTAAAATACAACTTAAAGTCTTCATTTTTGCACACTGAATTTTTTATTTTAATATAGAATACATTGAAATAGGCTGGGTGTGGTGGCTCACGCCTGTAATCCCAACACTTTAGGAGGCCGAGGTGGACAGATCATGAGGTCAGGAGATCGAGATCATTCTGGCCAACATGATGAAACCTTGTCTCTACTAAAATACAAAAAATTAGCCAGGCATGGTGGCGAGCATCTGTAGTCCCAGCTACTCGGGTGGGTGGGAGACTGAGGCAGGGGAATCTCTTTAACGTGGGAGGCGAAGATTGCAGTGAGGCAAGATCATGCCACTGCACTCCAGCCTGGTGACAGAGCAAGACTCCGTCTCAAAAAAAAAAAAAAAATTAAAATTAAATAATAAGAATGTGATTAAGTCAATTATGGCTTATAAGCATGTAAAATATGTAGCAATTTAAAATGAATAAAACACTGTATACTTTGGTAATACAGGGAAAAATCTAAAGGAAATTAATACTGAAACACTAATAGTATATTATTTTGATGTGGTGACGTACACTGAGATCTTTTTTAATTTATTAATTTGGAACAAGATCTGTCATTGAGAGATTCAAGAGTTCATAAATTCAATGTCATGCACCTACAGTATGCTGCAAACTCATTGGAAACATAACTGTTTTTTGTAGGAAAACTTAAGAGTTTTTCAGATCTTTCCAAGAGAGAGATAGCAACTAGCAGACACTTCTGGAGTCTGTTCATTGTGAAGGGCCTTTCCATCTTGTACACCTGTAATACCATCCTAGCTGCACCACGTGAAAACCCAGCAAGCCAGGTGTGCTGTCACATGCCTGTAGTCCCAGCCACTTGGGAGGCTGAGGTGGAAGGATCACTTGAGCCTGGAAGATTTAGACTGCAATGTGCTGTGCTCCTGCCACTGCACTCCAGCTTAGGTGACAAAGTGAGACCCTGTCTAAACAAAACAACAACAAAAGCCAGCAAAACTAAATACATATTGAAATCCATTTAGGCCAGATGTAGTGGCTTCTGCCTATATTCCCAATACTTTGGTAGGCTGAGGTGGGAGAATCACCTGAGCCCAGGAGTTTGAGACTAGCGTGGACAACATAGAGATACCCCATCTCTGGGCGGGTGTCGTGGCTCACGCCTGTAATCCCAACACTTTGGGAGGCCAAGGGGGGTGGATCACTTGAGGTCAGGAGTTTGAAACCAGCCTGTCCAACATGGCGAAACCCCATCTCTTAAAAAAAAAAAAAAAAAAAAAAAAA